CGTCATCCCTGACCCAGAGCATTCACACGTTATGTGGAATTTAAATCCGGAGATATTGTTGGCCATATCATGCGACCAATATCTTCACTGCCAAGAAAATCATTATCGTTTATGAAAATGAAATCTGCGCTCACAGCATCTCGGAAAAGTCTCGCAAGAAGGTTCCAAAGCTTCGTCACTGTAGCGTTTTTGCAGTAATGGCACTCCGTGTGGTCATTATGCTTAATGGCGGCAGGGGATACCATTAACAATACAACCACCACTATTTGAAAACTGGTCTCTTTCACGATGTTAAATGGACAGTATCGGGTTCCTGGCGTCTCCAGATTCTAATCCGACGAGAATCATCTCGTATCATCCATTTACGGATTAGATGATATGCCTTTTTTTTTTAACAAGTTTAGTTTCGAGAAAAAAAAATAATTTTCAAAATTTTCTCTCGAAACTAATAATCCACTATTCTTAACTGTAAGCATTAAAACATGTTATATGTTAATCTAATTTTAATAATTAAATTAATTTGGAACGATAAAATTTTCTTTTCACACTCAGATATGATTAATTAAAAGCATCCAGTTTCTATTAATCACGCAGAAAGATGAATCACTTAATTTTCATTTTGTACAATATATTTTTTAGTGCTTTTGCTAATAAAATGATTTTATCGTAAAATAATTACATCAGGAGAATTTTGTAGAAGTTACTTTTAGGCAATTTTTTCATATAAATAGGCACTTATATCATATTGGCTATTAAATATAATAATTTTTACTAGAATATATTCCGAACAACAGGGAATTACATTTATATAATCTACTTTTGCAAATACAGTATATTGATAATAAAGTTTATGTTACAAAGTGCTAAATTAATAGGCGCTGATTTTTGAAGTACAGTAGGCCTATATAATTTTATATCGGAATAACGCTTTATCAACAATCTATTAAAATTCTTCTATTAAAAACATCGATAAAACTTATCATAAAACTGATAAAATAAAAATATTTTATGTCTAGTAATTACTCAACGTTCGTTGATAAGATCGGATTTCTCAAGAATTTCATAATTAAACATTATAATCGTCGCGGAACTTTATAAAATAATTCTTTTAAAATCGCTGGATGTAAAATACGATAAACAATGAAGCCGAAACGTATCCTCTTGGCACCTGTTTACTATTTTCTAACTTTTACGACTTTAAATTCTCTCAAACTATTAGCAAAACTGTTTATTTTATACTTAATGGCATTATCTGCAGCAGAATAACTGATAAAAACAGTTTCGAAACAACGTTAGAAAACGAGCAAAATTCCTAGACTTTTGCTTTTAAATTGAAGTGCAATTTATAAAATTGTTTAATTGCTTAAAGCTAAATTTATGCGCCTATTCTTCTTGCTTAACATTAACCGTATGCATTATTATTTAGAAGCATCATGGCATGAATCCCGTATACAGGTCCTACATATCCATTAACCATTAAAAACTTCCGTTGATTATTGTTACTTATCTACACTAAACTGTGCTATTAAAAAATAAAAATCAGTATAAAATTAGCTGAAAAAATTTATTTCTCACCTCGATAAGATAAGAATAATCTGTTTTGTTTTCCAATCGAATTTGATCTCTCTTCTGTATCCAGTTTATCACACTATGTAGATGCACCCTGACTGCACACATATTAAGAAGCAAACCTGTTTAAATTTGGCTCCTTCGTTTAAAAAAGGTTGCCGACCTCGCAAACAAAGGCGTGACTGTGGCCTGATAACGTATTTAGCGCAGTCATAACCTAAATATTGAATGATGTACCGTGAGAAGCAAAATAAAAAATAAACAGAATAATGGGCTAAACAATCACAATGTTAATTTAATGAAGATGTAATTGATGTTATGTGCTGCTTTTAAGGTTAAATAAGATTAATTTTTTTTTAAATATTTCTAAAATTACTTCTCTCTTAGAAAATCAGATAATGTTTTTGAGTATAATTACTGAATGAAGATAATCATATATTTTTTAAAAATTAAATCATCGCTATTGTGTAATGCTAATGTATCTAATTTTTTAGTTATATAAATTATTTTACAGCATCCCTCATCATCTTAAAGTATTTAAAGATGTATTTGAAATCATTATTGCTAATATTTAACATAAAATTTATCAAGAATCAGATGTGCCAAATGAAAAACACTTTGTATTATTATTAATAAATAATAAATGGTTTAAATATTAAATTATATTATTATTATATGTAATAATATATAATTTATACTTTTGATATATAACTTTATAAAGCATTATTTATATTTATTTACAATTTTGAATACTCCAACACAATTTTTATTTGCTAGAATTTACATTGTTAATTTATATATCTATTATATTGCAGTTCATTTAATTATTTTTAATCTAATTCATGAAAATTTTATTAAAATAGATTTAATCACAGAATTAATTAATTTATTTAATAATTTTAGTTATAACTGTTCATCTAATATACCCATATTGGAAAAATATGTCAAATATTACATATCAACAGTTTAAATGTTTAAAATAACCCAAAATTAAAGAGAATTTTTGAGAATTGGATTGAATGTTGCTAATTTTTATATTTTTTTCATTAAGATAAATGATCATGTTTGAATAAACTGTGATAGATTTTGCAATTATATTTTAAAAATTAAATTTTAACATACATCTCGCCAGTGTATGTCTTACAATCATATGGTCAGTCTTAATTTTATTCATTACAAATAGGTCTGATGCACAATGAGGTCAACCAACATTGAAAACAACACCCTGACCTGATCTATAACAAATTATGAGGGTCTGGATCAAATTTGAATCCGAATTCATCTTGGCGATAAGACAATACCTTATTCCACCTCTGAAAATTAAAATTTATGCTTTTAGTATAAGTTTTAAGAGAATTATCATCTATGTTCTGTTTCATTTTGATCCTTGTGCAATAAAGACATTATTTGGTTTGCAAGGATCAAAATGAACAGGTCATAATTCTTCTCTTGAAAATTTATACAAACTAAATTTTTTCTTCTGAACTAAGTACTGTAAAAACCTTTAATGAAATTCTTGTGTTTATTTATGTACATTAACTCTTTGTTACATCACTCATTTGGATAAATTGCGCTTTTTTATCTTCCATGTGTAAAAGTGCTTTAGCCAATAATTTTAAAAAACTGGTTACCATTGAATTTCTACTGAATCCATTCATTGACCTTAAAATTACTATATAAAATTCAATCAACAAAAAAGTAAGTCAACATGGAGACTGAAAATAGATAAAACAGGTAAATAAAATATATCAATTATATTGCACCATTTGATAAATCACTTGTTTCCTTTCTATTTTGACATGTGTGATATAATGAGGCACTACTGAACTTTTTTCATTACTTTTATAATTAAGTTTTAAGTCTTCTAATATGTTGATTTTTTATATCTCCTGAATCAAAAGTTAATTTCATTTGCTTTTGCTGGATGTAGACAAAATGTCAAAATGTTTAAGTCATATTACAATCATATAAAGGCATTTATATGATTATTACTTTCCATAACATAATTTTCTGATATACTAGGATCTGAAAAATTAAATTTATATCATTCCATGCAATTGCATGAATCTAATACCCATCTAGATAACAGGTACAGTAAGACCCCACTTAATGTGGGGGATGTGTTCCTAGACGACAAAGCGCTAAACGAAACAGTGTTAAACAAGGTCATTTTAATATAGAGTAAATAGGGCTAGGGGAACACGCAACCAAAAATAAACAAATTTTACTTCAATTTTAAGTTATTTTTATATCAATTTGCACACTAATATATGTTAAATAACACACAAAGATATGCGCACAGAAATGTAAAATTCATTTTTTGTGATGAAGGTCCTGACTTTTCTGAAATTCTTCTTTTTTGCAATAAAGTCATGAAGTTTCATTTGTCGCTTTTTTATTTCCTTAAGCAAATGTCAATAGCAGAAGATTGCATCCAAAATGTTTCGTTTTGCTTTTGCACTTCTTTCAAAATCCGGATCATTCGCTACAATTTGATCAATGATTTCGGTTATTGTTACCAAACTTTTACTAAGGAAATCTGTAGAAAAATTTTTTGGGTTCTTTGTTTTCAGAATCTCTATTTTTCAGTTCTAAATGAATTCCTTGTTCTGCCAGTTCTTGAAGGCTGTCGTTTGTAAGGCTCACACCAGAAACCTGCGGTAACTCCTCAATATCCTGCTTGTCTATATCTCCTAGTCCCGCTGTATTGATTAGGTTGAGTTTGGTCAACCTAACGATACAGCGACAGGCTCGTATTGAGAATTCTTGGATATCTTCAGCCATAACTTCTTCCACACTTTGTTCGTGCATTTATCAGTTAATTCTTGCCAAGCCAAGTCAATATTTCCTATGGCATCCATGATGTTATATTTTTTTCCAAAATTGCACCAAACAAACATAGATTTAAAGAGTACACCTTTTTGCCACCTTTTTCTGATTGGTTTGTGTTCATAAATAATTGTATTATATACGAATCAATAAAATGCCACAATAATCCAAATGTAAATTTTGAGCTTTTTTTTTTTAAGGCTTCAAGCAGACTGCATTATCAGCGTTAAGTGAGGCAGCATTAAGCGGGCTCTTACTGTACTAGATTTTTTTGATTCTTGTCTCTGCATGGCTCTGACACTCTTTTTGATGAAGATGTGGGCAAGATTATAGAAAATAAAAAGGCAATTGGAGCATGTACTAACCCACTATATTTTTTCTGATAATGATGACAAACACAGTTAGTTCTATAATATATCTAATATCTTGAATGTCCTTTTATATGGAAATTTATAATCCACGTTGATTCACATGAATTATAAATTAAAATAACCAGAGAGAGTAATTACAATCAAATTTTTATACATATTTACAAGTAATTTTAAATAAAATCTGAACTTACATGTACAAACTATACAAAAACAAAAAACACTAGATACAACAAAACTTAAATATTTTAATTTTTTAATACTATACAATATATAACAGAAAATATTAAGAATAATTTTCTGTGTTCATGTCATTTAATCCTAATTCCTCATTCTGTTCAAATGTTCGTTCATAATGAACTACAGTCATCTTTGGATCTGGATCAGGTGCATAAATATTCTACAAATAAAAAAAATAATATATGTTCACAAAATAATTATCTTCTGTAAAAAATTCTAAAAAAATTACATTACTAATATTCTACATAAAAGTTTCTAATATTGTATTATACTTGCATAATGTTTAAATAAATAAATGCAAAATATAAGATATTAATACATGAAATTTACAATTAATAAATTTTAAATTTACACTTTAAAAACAAACAACAAATTCAAAGATTAAAATAAAATATACCTGTATATAACAATTTCCACAAGGATCATCCATAATGAATGTGACATTTTTATTTCCTTTACATACCTGTTATTTAAAGTAGATTAATGAAATAGAACTGAAAAAAAACTTAATATTTCTTATAATAAATATAGTTTTTAAATAAAAATTTTAAACATTAAAAATTATGGTCAGTAAAATATTTGCATTTCTCCCCACTTATTTTTTAAAGTGTAAAGAATAATCATTACATCTGTAGCAGAAAATAATAATAATAATTTTTATGCATTTACATTATCCTAAATTATGTCCATTTAAGCTTGAAAAGCAATAGAAGAAAAAGTAGATGTGTTCAATGTTTACTTGAATTTATTTGAACAATATTTTAAAATACTTATTGAAAAATATAACTTCTAAAACTAAACAAAAATAATAAATTTTAATCAATTATTAAAGAACACTTTTTCTCTTCAAATAGGATATTCGGATCAAATCTTCAAAAAAGTCTATTCCATATATCATTTATCTTTTAGAATATTTACTGTAAAAAGTGCACTTAGTTTGTTTCAAAGCAGTTAGTTCCATTAACTATTTAAAAAAAGCCTCAAACATTTGTTTAAAATGTTAAGGAAAATTTTCATTTCATATTGACTAAAGTTTTAATGAAATAAAAATGTTTAGTGAAAAATAATTAATATTTTAAATTTACACGTATGAAACCAGAAATGAATCAAGGCCCTAATAACATAGTAGTATTATTGATCATAAAGAATAATGTTAAACAGATCAATGTACTGCAGTATATTTCCTTGATTAAAACCTAGGGAGGTTTACTTTTAAAACAGATATTACCAGAGTTTATTAAGACCAGAGTTTTTTCAAGGGCAGAAGTTATTACTATTAGGGTTTCTCATTTCCCAGTCCTTTGCTTGTTCTGGGATTTCTAGAAAAAAAATGATCTGTTTCCTGAGATATAATTAATTATTTTTAAGACATAAAATAAATTTGTGTAAAATATGTATTAAAAATTACTTTTGAATTACAAATAGAAAAAATTTATTAAAGTTTGCTGGAAACTACGTACAACAACAACGACAAAATGCTTTGAATTGAGTTGAAAATTTAAAAAAAATGAACTTAGATCAAACTTTTAACTTAAGAGGTAATTTTTGGTTTTTAAATAATAATACAAAATATTATTGTAAATTTTTATAACAGGATTTTAAAAAGCAAAGATGGTCAAATACTCTAAAAAAACCTTTCAATTGAATTGAAAATTTAAAGAAAAAAAACGAACTTACATCAAACTTCTAACTTAGAAGGTAATTTTTGGTTTTTAAATAAAACATAATACAAAATATTATTGTAAATTTTTATAACAGGATTTTAAAAAGCAAAGATGGTCAAATACTCTGATCACTCAATCTGGTTCTTATTTTAATAATAAAAAATCCTGCTAACGAGAATGCCCTTTCCGATTCAATTGGTGCGGGTGGCATCGTCTTTAATGCATTTAAGAGAAGACAAATGTTGTGTTTTTTCCACCTGTAGCCTCAAAGATTTCTAGTTTGTTTTCAAGATGCACTGCAGTACTTCTTTTCCTGTCTAGTATTCTTGATTTGTCTACCTCAGCTGCTTTAATAGAGGCATGAAGCTTATAGCCCAATAATTCAGCATTTTGTTTGGCTTTAATAATCAGGTTTATGAAGAAAAACTTCATACTTATTTGTATCCTTGCCCAATTTGCACAAACTGGCATAATGCACTTATTAAAGCTACTGAATATGGTTAAAAATTAAGACAGCATTGCGTAATTATTCTAGATATTACAGGTTCTGAAAAGTAAAGAATTTTCAGAGTCCTGCCACAAATAGGCTACACGTTGATTATTGATAATCTGTGACATTGATAATAACAAACAAAAATTTAAAAAACTAATAAACAGACTTAAAATTAATAAATACAACATATTCTGACAGTTTATGAGTTAACTATACTTTCTATTTACAAAATTTCCTCAACCTTAACACAAAAAAAAAAAATTGAAAGAAATATCTTAATTATTCACACATTTTCCAAACTATCAAAATCATTTATTGACTGTGTTTATCGGTTATAATTACATTTGAAATTATTACAGTTTTGTAGTTAATCCAATTTAGTGTCTTTTGATATGATTATTACATAGTCATTCAGATCTGCTTTGATGTTGTTGTAGGAATCAAGATCTTGATCTTGACTATCATCTTCTGGTTCTCTTTCAAAAAGAGATGGTGTGTGAACCAGTTTTCCTAACTACTCTTCAGCTGAAAAGCTTGACTTATGAACTTAACTGCAACTCCATACTCAATATTTAACAATATTTATTTCATTTCAAAAAATGTTTCTGTAAACCTTGGAATAGAAAGTGCTTTTCAACTGTAGACAATTTGAATAAGAAGTAGAATTTTAAGAGAATTTATAATTAATTACATATTATGGAAACCTATCTTGAACATCAAGAAAATTGAATTATTTCTCTAAATTCAATTTTTAATCTTATATATTTTTCATATAATGTATGATGATGACAATAACACTGTAATAACAATAATGTATTCATTTATCTTACCTCATCTAAATTATTTAGAAATGTTTCCATCTTTTCTTTATGTTGTTTTCTAGCAGCATCGCCAAATGTAAATGGATTGTCCATTTTCAACTACAATGTTGACAATTATTTAATATAAATTGAATAAAATTATTATTTTTTTGTTTTTACCTTAACATTCTCACCTGCTCTTTAATATTTGTTAATAAACCTTCTAGGGTTGTAAACTTGCTACCTAATGTATGAGATCCAACTTCTAACTCTAGTTCAGGAATAAGAATTTTACATGTTTCTGACTGAAATAATAAAATGATTTGATCAAATATTCAGTTTAATAAAAATTAAATAAAATTACATAAAATTTATGTTGGTTTAAAGTCAAATACTTTCTAATTACTGTCAATAAGTTATCATAGCTCCTGCATATACATATATATAAGACTAATTACTAGTTTTTTTTCACTTGAAATCCACTAAAAAAGTGATTAGATATGATGTAAAAAACAGTAGAATAAATTTTAATGATAACCGAAGAAAAAGTAATTATATAGCCATATGTAAATGATATTTTAGTTGGGCAATTATGTCTTTGTTAATGATTACCTACAGACTAATAATTATTATTCCTTTTTTGTAAACAACTTGGAAAAACTAGATATATTTCTATATCTAGTTTTTCCAAATTGTTTACAAAAAAGGAAGAGACACAGTGTCACTTTTTACAGAAAGAAGAGAAATCAATTTCCCTTTCCAAGAGTTCATTCCTTATCACAATCAAACCATCTGATTATCTACCCTCTGCACGACCCTGCACATCCTGTTAGCAACCGTAAATCCTTTTACGCTATTGGTCAGAAATTACAATAAAAGGGGCGATTTTCCTGCCATTCGCAGTCATCCAAAAAATAGATTGCCATATGAGATGCAGTCGACATAAGTCTGAATTTGCCACATAGATGACAGGCAGTCAACAGAAATATGACATTGCCACAGGAGAAGCCAGTCAACAATCCCCAAGAGCCTACCATAAGAAGAGTTCTCATGCAAATTCTCACTCGTGCATTTCCGTCATCCATCCTCTGTCTAAGAGCTTCGCCAAAGAAACTTCATCACTAAAAAGAAGACTGCCTTCCAGACCTTCAGTCAAGGTAATAAGTTTAAGCTCTCTCTCTTGGTTTAGCAGTATACTCTCAATTTAGAAGTGTAACTCTAGTTAGACTCGATTATGTTCAGTTATATTTGTATTTTGAATTATGTATCTCGTTGATTTAGTTTATTTAGTAAATCTTTGTTTATTATTTACATTTGGTAACTCTCTCAATTAATTTACTCCAAACATTCACCCTGTTATGCTCAAACTTACTTGTGACTCCTCCCCACTTATCAATGAGAAGCCCTCTTTTTAATTTGGTAAATTCATAGCGAGGTAGAGTGCGAAATCTTTCCCTATCTGGTGTCAGTCCTGACAGTCAAACAAGTTGAAAGATTCTGGTGACATATCTATTTTTTTTTTTGGGCCATCCTTAGATAAGAGTGAGCAGACCCCAACATCCCAACGATTAGAAGGTACAACAATACCTTACAGTGATCTACAACAATTACTCCACATCTAGTATCTTATTACATTCATGATCGTGTAATATTATGTAATAAGATCTTTCAATTAAATAATAAACATCAAAATTTATGTTCATTAGAAATTTATTATTTTTCTATTACTCTGTATTCTAATTTTTAAATTTTCTACAAACTGGAATTTCTCAGGCATGATACTTAGTGTGAGACCCGAAAGGCCCTGGGTCACATTTAATAATTTTTATTTATAATGGTAAAATATCGACATAAAATATTACTTCATTTTAGTTACAAACTGGAATTTCTCAGGCATGATACTTAGTGTGAGACCCGAAAGGCCCTGGGTCACATTTAATAATTTTTATTTATAATGGTAAAATAACGACATAAAATATTACTTCATTTTAGTGAAAAACTAGTGTTTTAGACGTGGGAAAAACCAGATAACAGATGCTACTTCCTTTCACAGAAGAGAACATCCTCTGACTTTCCNCAAAATTGTAGTTTTTTTTAATATAGTGTAAGACCTACAAACACTTGTCTTTTTCTTCTACCCGCGACCCCCCAGTGGGTCGCGACCCACAGGTTGAAAAACACTGCTCTAGGAAATAAAAATGTGATTTTCTAAAGCTTGTCCTGTTTATGAATGTTGGTGTAATAAGTCTAGCGGAAAAGAAAAGCCGTCTTAGAGCTCATAAATTGAATACAAGACTAGACAAGAAGCGTATTACAGAATGGATTTTTTTTTATTCGTCTACTGTACTAAATGATTAAGATTCCATAGTGGTGTATCACTTTTTTCCTTTGTTTACCGTGGAAAAAGTAAGATCACGCTTCATGTTTTTAATTAATAAAAACATTAATTGCCACTCATTGAGATGATTATTAAACATTAAGGTAGGAGTATTGGTAGTCTAAATTTATAAAAATTGTTTAAGTTAGTTTCCAAAAGAACATTACATTCCAGAAGTTGCAGGAAAACTTTATTAGTAAATTTGAAAGATTTTAAAGCAATTTCTTATTTTCGTCGATGCATAGAAATATGCTAACTCGTTATACATTTAACCTGTATTCAAAATTTGGCATGTTTCGGAGTTAAAATTCATAATAAATTATTCATTAACTCATAAAGTCAGTATCGTAACTAAGCAGACGCAACACAGACACGGAACCCCGGATGAAGGGGGCTCTGAAATAGGGTACAAAATTGATGAGTACAGTGGAACCTCGGTATATGACCTTAATCCGTTCCTGATGTTTGGACTTATACCGAATAGGACGTATACCAAACCAACCTTTTCCATAAGAAATAATGTAAAAATTTTCAATTCCGAATTTTCATGTCGATATTTAAAGAAATTAACATATTTAGAAATGCTGTAGTAATTAATTTTTTCATAACATTTTATGAATTTTGATACATATTGTAATCTTAATGATTAATATCTTACGGTATAAGAAATCCCTCCTAATTGCTACCGAAGTAGACAAACCTCTAATGAAGTTCTCTTCCCTCTCATATCGGAGTTAATATGGAGGTTACTGCATAATCGCTTATCCTCCGAAGAGCCGACCAAAGCTTTTTGATTGACCATTTGAAATTACTCGCGGAAAGCAGGGGGAAATGCCTTCTGAAAGGTCTTATTAAGGATAGTTAGCCTCTATTTAGGCATTAGAGATATGGAGAATAGGCGCTAGAGATATGGAGAAAATACAGAAAACTCTCTGTAGCCATCTCGTCCTGGCGAAGACGCGAACCCATGACCGACCTATCAGTATTCAGGGAACGGGAACCGCTTGGTCATTGGTGGTTCTCTAATGAATTTCTTCGACGAGTTTAACATTCAACCTGACGGCAATCACTTCAACTAATCTCGCCATTCTAGTAATTTTAAAATAATAAAATTATTGTTTATGATGCTTTAGATTCTGCAACTGAAAAAGACTAAACACTTATAACACCACTGCATATGATGACAATTAAATGTAGATAAACCCTAAATTAAATCATGTGGATGTAATTTGAGATTTTGAAATTGTGTTATAGTGAATTGATGCATAATGAGTGATACTGTATTATTATTAATTAAGAATTTTCATCAATTCTAATTAATATGAAATAATTGCAAGAGTTCTAATTATTATTTAAGCAAAATTTTATATTTACCCCCTTCTTGTGAACCTGCAGGAATTTCAAATTCTAATTCAGGAATCTGAAGAATGGCTGTTTTTGTCTTCACAACAGATCTAGTAAGATCCTAAGCAAGAAAATAAAATTACTGAAAATCTACATAACAAAAAGCTTTTTAAAATACTAATTTAATTAATACAGTTGATAAGTCATTATATGGCTAGTCACAATTAAGTTGATGTTTTTATATATAAGACAAAAGTTCAGATTATCAACAGTTTTAATATTAGAAATGTTATAAATTCTTAACATCTAATTATTGTATAAAATTACAATTTTAAGAATATAAAAGACTAATTTCTTTTAAATTATCACTAAAATAGCTTTTAATGCCATTAGAAAATTTATGTCTGAGTCATGTGTAAGCAGTTGCTACCAGGGCTATGGAGTCGTGTAAAAATCTACCGACTCCAACTACAACTCTTCCTTACCATCCGACTCCGACCAGGGGCGGACTTGTTGCCGAAAGAGACCTGGAAATTCTGATGTCATCATGTGACTTCAGAATAAAAAATTCAATAAATAGAGTTCTAATAAAGATAGAATGTAGAAACGTTTCATTCCAAAGCTAAAAGATTCCTCTAAGTAAGACTGATATATAAATATGTATTCGATCATTTTTACTTTTCCAGCTGTCATATATAACAGAGAGAAAGTGTCGTGCTGGGTCAAAAATGACCCCTCCCAAATTTTTTGGACTCAGGATACCTTGAAATTTTGAGATATGCAAAAGATTCGAGGTTTTTCTATGTGTGTGGATGTTAGACTGTGTGGGGGGGCATGATTTTGTTCACCCTGTTTGAAGCCTAATAATTTTTGTGGTCAGAGTGGTCAGAATCAGAATCAGTTTAACACAGTAGTTAGTTATTAAGCATCAAAGTGGTTGAACTAAATCATGCCCCCATTTACATTGTAACATCTTAGCCGAGAACATCTTAATGGGTTTTACTGTACTATTATAAAATGACAAAAAAGCTTACTTTGAGGATAGTGATGAGTTTTATTTTGAATGCTAATAACGAGTAAAATATTCATTAAGATATATGACACATGAACACTTTTATGTCTTNTAAAAATCTCACTCAGATGGGAAATGGTTACCCCTCATTCATCCCCCTTTCGTCCGTTCTCATGGAAGAGTTACTGGCCAATGATTGGTCGAAATTCAGGAGATATAAGGGAAATTAGTCTGAATTCGGGGAGTTCTTCGACAGATCCGAAGCGTCAAAACTCCACACAGTTCTCCTCCTGATGGCCAACGCCCTTAAACGAGTCTCATAGACTAAGTCCCGAGTCTGAACTTAGTAAAGATACTTTTATATTTGCGCACGTATTGATCTCCCGTACGAAGAAGTAAATGAACTCTATCTACAAGGTGTCCTTTACAGACAGAGAAGAAGACGAATGTCAACTGAATCAGGTTGTATGTTTTATAACAAATTTTGTAAGCTCTCTCTCTCTCGATCGCGCATCAGTATAGAATAAGTCCAAGCCAATATCGTGTAATCTAATTGTCGTTTATCATCCCTCGTTCATTGATATTTGTATTCGTTGTTTTTGGATTATTAAATTTACACTCGTTAAATTTTACTTAAATGTCTCTTAGATTGATTCCGAAACAGATCTCATACGCGTGTTAATCCGCATATAATAAGATTGATTAACTGGTGTCAAGGAGTCAAGGAATCCTGACGAGCATCTGAACGTCGCCGTTCGGATCATATAGCGGTTATCGCTCTCCTATGAAATATTTAAGATCAGATCTAGTGATCTGCATCCTAGAGAACTAGTCCTACCGACTGGTGCCGATTAAGTGTTACACGAGTACTACCTACTCCGTAACCCCGGCTACTCTCACATTAGCCATAGACCAGATTATAAGAAATGCTGGATTATAAGGTTAAATAAATTATTTAAAAAGAAAAAAATTTATCAAGCAGTACATATCCAATAAACTATAACTTTATAAACCATAATATACAAAGTACAGTACAGTACAGTATAGTTGTTGAGTAATTTTAGTGTTGAAATGACTAAAACAAACATACATATATTTTACTAATACATAACAATTTAATTAAAAAATTAATAATAAATAGATTTTGTAAATACTATAAGATGAATAATAAATGCAATATAAAATAAGCAAAAATTAAAAATGTCCTTAAAAAAAATTCAGCTTTGCCTCTCATTTATATGTATGTATAAAATAATTAAAAGTGATGAAGTATCATAAAACAATATGTGATAAAAAAAATATATATATATATATATAAATTAACTAACCTTTAAAACATCCCTAGTCATATCATGAGTTCCAGTAATTTGCAACTCTATCCTGATGCCAGTGGGTTCAATTCCAGAACCACTTTTTACTTCACTGGTTCTATGTCCACAATGATCACATGTTGTTGCCATTATAATTACTTCTTTGAACTGAGGAATTTCTATCATCATCATCAAAAGAGATGTTTATTAAAATAAAACAAAATAATTACTCAAAATTTTTACATTTTGTAAAAAAACAATACTTGTAAGTTTCATATTTGTCTGACAACTGCTATTGCATAATGAACAATTTGTTGGAAAAGATACTACTTCATTATGAAAGTCTTCAGAAGTTTCTTGCTTATCTGAATTCTCAGCATTTTTACTAGGGACATGTTTCTAACATAAAGAGAATAATATTCTGAAGATTAACAATATTAAAATTTATATTCACATGATTATGATATATAAGACAAACATTAATACTTACAATACCCAATAATTCATCTTGTTCGGAAGTCCTTGTGTAGTTATAAACTTCGAGGTTTTCATCCTGTTTTGGTGCACAACTGTAACTTAAGGATTAATAAACTGAAATATTTTTATGCTTTTAAAGATAAAAATATTTCATCTATAATATTAAATTTGTAAATAGTATTTTCAGGAAAGAAGGATACAAATTTTCAACAAAAGAATTGCCTGAAGGATCGTCAATAACCTAAAAAAAGTTAATTTTTATTTAAAAACTATACAATAGGAGGAGTTTTGTTTATATACTATATCTTAAACAAAACAAAAATGATTCTGCTTTATATACTTTTGATTCTAAACATTCTTTTATACATGTATTGTTAGACTTTGATATTATGAAATTCTCTTTTCAATGAATTTTTCTGTAGAAAATGCTGAAAATGTCTCTCTTTCATTTAAAAATTTTCCTATTTAATGAAATTTAATGTTTGTATAATAATCTTTAAAAAAATCTTATGTATTTCTGTAACTAATCAATCAATTATGAGTATAGTACTGTACTCATACCAAGGTCTGAACATCTGTATCTAAAGATGGTTTCAAATAATGACCTTTCTAATGTATTCAAAACTATATGAAATGGCTTCTGTCAAAAAGAGAATTTTTAATTATATTCAAATAAAGATAAATCATTTGTTTTAAATAAAATAACTTGATAAAAAATTTACAGTTGTAATTTTAATAAAATACACTATATCTTCTGTTTGATTCTTCTGTGTAAAGTGCATACATAATACTTTATTTTGTTATTAATGCAAGTACAAAAATATTTTTATAGAAAATAAAAAATGCCATTACAGTAAATTGTTTTTTCTTTTCACTACTATTGCATTTATTTTTATTTTATTAATTTTCTACATAATGAGTTCATTGTGTTTCCTGGAGGCAATGTGTTACATAAATGTTCAGCTGTACTTATTTAAATAATAAATTTTTTTAATGATTCAAATAAATACAAGAGAAAAACTAATTATAAAATGAATTTTATAAAATTTAATAATTAAAATTTATTTCCAAATTTCATTTGGAATATCTCTCAACATTTCAAATTTTTAATAAAAATATTAATGCATGATGATGTATAAAATGAAAGAAGACATTAAAATCATAGTTTGTTCTTAAAATTTTTAAAATGTAAATGCTGAACTTGTAATGATATTAATAATAATTATTAAAAAGATTGTATTAATCTTCATTCTTGTAACTTCATATAATATGAACAGCACAGAAACAAAGATCAAAAGCATGTGCCTTTAACAAAACCAACAGAAATATACAATGTTTAATAATAAAATTAAACTATACTTATTGTAAGATGGCCAGATGGTTGAGCAGTTAAAGTGGTATCCTACAGCTCTAAGAGATCCAGGATCAAAGATAGACAGATTAAAAACCCACAGGAATTATCTGGGGTCCTCTGTCTGAATATGCCAAGCTTCTATCCCTCACCACCTGGCTGTCCCAATATGGGCCTGATTGAACCCATAATGGGCTTACAAAAAAGTCCCTCTTAGTGCCCCCAGAGTAAAAAGAGTATAAAAAGAAAAAAACCAAACCCAACGATGTAAAATTATTTCAAAATAAATTAATGAAAAATATAGAGTATGTTTAAAATCAAATATATAATTTATTTCTGTGCAATGTACAGTATAATTTTAAATATATACAATAAAAACTTGAAAATATTTAAAATTTTTACAAGATATACAGTAATTTATTAATTAATTATAATTATTAATAAATTAACAACACACATTTTTATTAATTTTAATATATAAATATTTAGAACATATCCAGACTTCACCTTATATATATTATATTTTTGATGTAATGCTAACTTTTAACTATTTTGTTTAAATTAAATGAATTAACTAAATCACTTCTATTCAAACCTGCACATTTTAAATTATTATTAACAAATTTATTTATTAATAATATGTATTAAATTGAATACACTAAATTATTATATCTATAATAATTTAACACATTCAATTTAAATTTCCCATAAAATATAGCTAAAATATTTATTATATTGCTTTACTAATAAATAAATATATTACTAGTATAAAAGTAAATGTAATAAAAACAACAGTAAATTAAATAAATATTGAAAGAGAATTTATAAGTTTATTTCAGAATAATATCTAGTAGACAGATAAAAAAAATTGTTAACAAATTCTATTTTTTTTTATTTTGATTTTAATAAATAATAACTTATTTGCATATTTTTAAATATAGTGACTAGTTACACTTTTACATATATTAGAAAGTTGTTATAACTATCTGCTTTATTTACTTAGAATGTAAACATGTATAAATTAAAGCATTTATTTAAAGATTGAAATGGCTATTTATTGTCAAAAGGATACTTTGACATTTCAGTACTAAATCTAAATATAGAAATGCTGCACTTAAAAAATGATATATTTAAAACAAATAATTTTATACATAATTGAAAAAAATATTAATTTCTCTGTAAAATAATCTGAAATTGAATATTCTAAAAGATTCCAGAATAATCAATTTAATATTTTGCAGCTTTTATTAACTAACTGACCAAAAATATTTCTGCTAACTAAAGGACAGTCACTCTTTTACACTTCTCAGATAATCAAGTGGCTTCTAAATAAAGTATGATGCTGAAACAATTTTACATTATGCTCTTATTGTATTGTGAAAAAAGTTTTAATGATATTACTGATTTGTATCTCTATTCTAATCATTAAAAAAAAAAACTGAAATTTTATATTTTAATTCAAAAAATTTAAGTAATATAATTAAATAATTCCAGTACACACAGTAAATCAAAAGTATCTTGCACTTTTTTCAAATGGCACTTTTTGACAACCTTGAAAATAAAAAGATCCCACCTAATTGCCAATGCATGACTTCCTATGTAACAACATTAACAAAATTAATGTATCTTCTGTGCTTTTGAAATGAAAAGGGTGCAAAGGACTTTTGATTCACCCTGTACACTGGAGATCAAATGTTGGTGATTACAAGGTCTGTTCAAAAAGTATCGGACCTTTGGTCGGCAAAAATAAATTTATTGACTTTGAGGTACAAAACCCTAATCCCCTTCAAAGTAGTCTCCTTGGTAATGTATACACTTCTCCCAGCGTTCCTGCCATTGCTGGAAACACTGCTGGAACGCATCTTTTGGAATGGT